TGAGGCAATATGGGCAGAGCTCGGAAATAGGAAGGGTGCGGTAACAATGTTGGGGCTGTACTACAGGCCTCCCAATAGTGAGCGTGAGATGGAGGCACAAATATGTAGACAGATTATGGAAAGATGTAGGAACAACAGGGTGGTGGTGATGGGAGATTTTAATTTTCCCAACGTTGACTGGGATTCACTTACTGTTAGGGGTTTGGATGGAGCAGAATTTGTAAGGAGCATCCAGGAGGGTTTTATGGAGCAGTATGTAAATAGTCCAACTCGGGAAGGGGCCATACTGGACCTGGTGTTGGGGAATGAGCCCGGCCAGGTGGTTGAAGTTTCAGTAGGGGATTACTTTGGGAATAGTGATCACAATTCCGTATGTTTTAGAATACTGATGGACAAAGAGGAGAGTGGTCCTAAAGGAAGAGTGCTGAATTAGGGGAAGGCCAACAATAGCAAGATTTGACAGGAGCTGGGGAACGTGGATTGGGAGCAGCTATTTGAGGGTAAATCCACACTTGATATGTTGGAGGCTTTTAAAGAGAGGTTGATTAGAGTGCAGGACAGACATGTCCCTGTGAAAATGAGGGATAGAAAGGGCAAGCTTAGGGAACTATGGACGACAGGTGAAATTGTGAGACCAGCAAAGAAGAAAAAGGAAACATACATAAGGTCTAGGCGACTGAAAACAGATGAAGCTTTGAAAGAATATCGGGAAAGTAGGACCAATCTGAAATGAGGAATTAAGAGGGGTCATGAAATATCTTCAGTAAACAGGGTTAAGGAAAATCCCAAAGCCTTTTATTCATAAGGAGCAAGAGGGTAACTAGAGAAAGGGTTGGCCCACTCAAGGACAAAGGAGGGAAGTTATGCAAGGAGTCAGAGAAAATGAGCGAGATTCTTAATGAGTACTTTGCGTTGGTATTCACTGAGGAGAGGGACATGATGGATGTTGAGGTTAGGGATAGATGTTGATTACTCTAGGTCAAGTCAGCATAAGGAGGGGGGAAGTGTTGGGTATTCTAAAAGGCATTAGGGTGGACGAGTCCCCAGGTCCAGATGGGATCTAACCCAGGTTACTGAGGGAAGCGAGAGAGGAAATAGCTGAGGCCTTAACAGGTATCTTTGCAGCATCCTTGAGCACAGGTGAGGTCCTGGAGGACTGGAGAGTTGCTAATGTTGTCCCCTTGTTTAAGAAGGGTATCAAGGCTAATCCAGGAAATTATAGACCGGTGAGCCTGATGTCAGTGATGGGGAAGCTGCTGGAGAAGATACTGAGGGATCGGATCTGTTTACATTTGGAAGAAAATGGGCTTATTCGTGATAGACAGCATGGTTTTGTGCAGGGAAGGTCATGTCTTACCAACTTGATAGAATTCTTTGAGGAAGTGACAAAGTTGATAGATGAGGGAAGGGCTGTAGATGCCATATACATGGACTTCAGTAAGGCGTTTGATAAGGTTCCCCATGGTAGACTGATGGAGAAAGTGAAGTCGCATGGGATCCAGGGTGTACTAGCTAGATGGATAGAGAACTGGCTGGGCAACAGGAGACAGTTGTAGTGGGAGTTTCTCAAAATGGAGAACTGACCAGTGGTGTTCCACAGGGATCCGTGTTGGGACCACTGTTGTTTGTGATATACATAAATGATCTGGAGGAAGGTATAGATGGTCTGATTAGCAAGTTTGCAGATGACACTAAGATTGGTGGAGTGGCAGATAGTGAAGGGGACTGTCGGAGAATGCAGCAGAATATAGATAGATTGGAGAGTTGGGTGGAGAAATGGCAGATGGCGTTCAATCCAGGCAAATGCGAGGTGATGCATTTTGGAAGATCCAATTCAAGAGCGAACTATACAGTAAATGGAAAAGCCCTGGGAAAAATTGATGCACAGAGAGATCTGGGTGTTCAGGTCCATTGTACCCTGAAGGTGACAATGCAGGTCGACAGAGTGGTCAAGAAGGCATACGGCATGCTTTCATTCATCGGACAGGATATTGAGTACAAGAGTTGGCAGGTCATGTTACAGTTGTATAGGACTTTGGCTGGACCACATTTGGAATACTGCATATAGTTCTGGTCGCCACATTACCAAAAGGACGTGGATGCTTTGGAGAGGGTGCAGAGGAGGTCCACCAGGATGTTACCTGGTATGGAGGGCGCTTGGTATGAAGAAGAGGTTGAGTAGATTAGGATTATTTACATTAGAAAGACAGAGGTTGAGGGGGGACCTGATTGAGGTCTACAAAATCATGAGAGGTATAGACAGGGTGGATAGCAAAAGCTTTTTCCCAGAGTGGGGGACTTAATTACTAGGGGTCACGATTTCAAGGTGAGAGGGGAAAAGTTTAAGGGAGATATGCGTGGGAAGTTCATTACGCAGAGGGTGGTGGGAGCCTGGAACGCGTTGCCAGTGGAGCTGGTAGAGGCGGGCACGATAGCGTCATTTAAGATGTATCTGGACAGATACATGAATAGGCAGGGAGCAGAGGGATACAGATCCTTGGAAAATAGGTGACAGGTTTAGGTAGAGAATCTGGATCGGCACAGGCTTGGAGGGCCGAAGGGCCTGTTCCTGTGCTGTAATTTTCTTTTGTTCTTTGTTCTTTGTTCTTTATAGGAGTTGAGAAGTCATGTTGGGGTTGTACAGGACATTGGTAAGGCCTCTTCTGGAATACTCTGTCCAGTTCTGGTCGCCCAGTTATAGAAATGATATTAAGTTGGAGAGGGTTCAGAAGAGATTTACAAGAATGTTGCCGGGTATGGAAGGTTTCAGTTATTTAAAAAAAAAGGCCGAATAGGCAGGGACTACTTTTCACTGGAGCGCAGGAGGTTGGGAGGCGATCTGATAAAAGTTTATAAAATAATGAGATGTATGGATAGGCTTAATGGTATTAGTATTACCCTTAGGATGGGGGATCTCAAGACTGTGGGGCACATTTTTGAGGTGAGAAGAGAGAGATTTTAAAAAAGACATGGGGGGGGGCAAATTTTTTACACAGAGGGTGGTTCGCATGTGGAATGAACTTCCTGAGGAAGTGGTGGATGTGGGTACAATTACAATGTTTAAAAGACATTTAGTCAATTACATGAAGAGGAAAGGTTTGGAGGGATATGGGCCAGGAACAGGCAGGTAGGACTCGTTTAGTTTGGGATTATGTTTGGCATGGACTGGTTGGACCGAAGGGTCAGTTTCCGTGCTGTATGACTCTTCACAGATGCTGCTAGACCTGCTGAGTATTTTTCATTTCTGAAGAAGGGTCTAGGCCTGAAACGTCAGCCTTCCTGCTCTTCTGATGCTGCTTGGTCTGCTGTGTTCATCCAGCTCTACACCTTGTTATCTCGAGTATTTTCAGCATTCTGTTTGTTTCAGATTTCTAGCGTCCGCAATATTTTGCTTTTAACAAAACAAATAGCCAGGTGAAAAAGCAAATTAGGAAGGCAAACATTGTGTTGGCCTTTGTTTCAAAAGGATTTGAATTCAGAAGTAGGAATATTTTGCTGCAGTTACAGAGCCTTGGTGAGATCATATCTGGAGTACTGTGTGCAATTTTGGCTTCCCTACCTAAGGGAGAATATACTTACCATGGAGGCATTGCAGTGAAGGTTCAGTAGGCTGATAACCAGGAATGGCATAATGAGGAGAGCTTAGTTTGACTGGATCTGCATTCACTAAAATTTAGAAGAATGAGACGGGATCTGATTGAAAAATTGGAAAATATAAAATTCCAACAGGGCTAGTCAGACTAGATTTGGGGAGGATGTTTTCCTTTTTTTGGAATTCTAGAACCAGGGGTCACAGATTCGAGACATCCTTGACCCTGGTACCCAGCAGATATTTTATCATCTTCGAGTCACATCTATGGCTGTAGAGTTATCTGTCTACTCCTCCACTAACAAATCGCCAACTAATCCTGGCCTTCCACATTTCATCCACTGTACCTCTGAGCTGCTAGACCTCCCATAGCATCATGACCTTGGTTCTGGTTGGCTTCCACAGAGTAAGAGTCACTTTCACTGTTTTCTAATGTTAAAAGGTTGTTTGCAAATGAGATGCTTTCGGGATTCCCTCACTATGTGCCTGGCCCCCTTCTGTCTGGCTGTCACCCATTTATTCTGTCTGTTTCTTTAAGCGGTGTGGTGGCCACGTACTGAAATGTGTTATCCACCAGCCTCTCAGCTCTGTAACTGCTCCATAGTGCCCTCAGCAGCAGCTCAAGCTCCAAAACTCAGATTCTGAGTTGCACAAGCTGGAAGCACCCCTGCATACATAGCCATCCAGGAGTGCCTTGGAATTCCCAAGCAGTGCAGAACCTGTAGGTTATGGTCCTGAGCTCCCCAGATATATTTTAACTAGATGAAATATGGACCTGAGATTTTATTTTACCAATTCTCCTACTTAAGTATGGACTAGAGAACTCTTATTCTGATTTTGTGCCAGACAAACAACCAGAACCCCTTAACTCTAACTCTATGAAGTGAAGAAATTTAGTTTTGAAGTTCTAGAATATTAATCATAAAATGAAGATTTTAAGCTGTACTTAGGGCCTTAATTTAAGTCATTATCCGGTTGCAAGCAACAAGAAAAATATCCAGCAATTACCTATTTGGTCTTCTGTGAATTTACATTTCAATGTCATTGAAGCATCTCTGTCTGCTTCTGGGCTCTCTGCTCTCACTGTTCCTTTTAACCTTACTCCTGAGTCCCAGGGTTTGGAGGTACCATGTATTTAAATTGGAGAATTGTCTCCTTGTATTGGTTTTAATGAAGTTGCCCTAGGCAAGTATGTAGAAGTTGGTAAGTTAATTTAATTTCCATAACATTGAATTGAACTGAATGATTGTCACTCACATTTTACAGTGAATGATATGGTAAAATACAGTGAAAAGTTTCCCGGTCACCACAATCTGGTGCCATTTTGAATAGTTTAAAAATTAAAAAAAAAAGTAAAAACATAGCTCCACATGAACATTTGTTAACTTCCACTATCTTCTTTACCATTTAGTCATTTTGGAAAAGAATTTGGTTTTGGCAGAAAGTTACGGAGGAATTACCAATTGAACCAACACAGTTTCGAATTCTGAATCCTGAAATTATACGAGAAACAGCTCTAGATCTACTGCAGTTACCGGAACCTCAATCAAAACTCTGGGGTTGGGACCAGGTAGGGGCTGAATTTGGGATATTTGAATAAGAAATGTGGTTTGGAAAATGGAGTTTGGAGAAAAATGATTTTGGGGCCAGGTGACATGATTATGCATGTTTAATAGAGGGTTGCACTGGTTTGTGATTGTGAAAGTTATTTCCTTTAATGTTTGCTAGAAGCAAAAATGCAGTTCTGATTGTAAAGCGCTAAAATGGAATGTTTTCAAAATGTTTTTCTGCATTCAATCTGGTACACTTTTGTATCCATAATGATGAATGTTGTATAACAAGACACTTGATATGCTGGGAAATTTTTGTTTTGTACAATTTAGAGAAAAACGTCTTGCACTTGTATAGTATATTTCTTGACCACCATGCAGCTCAAAGGCTTTACAACCAATGACATACCTTTTGAATAATAGTCACTGTTCTATAAATGGACAGAATTGAATATTGAGCATAAAATTTTATTTTATGCCCTGTTTGTTCCTGGCTGTCATTGCATTATTTCTAAGGTAGCCTCTATTTTTAAATTGCCGATCAGTACTTGTTAAATATTCTATTACTATATTAAATACTCTATCAGCTCTTTCCATATATCTTGACTGTGCCCAAAGATCCTGAAATTCAAGTATTTCCATCCTTAATCTTCTTCTCTTCATTGTAACCATTCTGTGCTTCCACATCTTTTCATAAACTGTGTTTTAATTCTATCCATCAATCAGTGTATGCTTTCCAGTGTCGGGTTGTCTTTCTCATTATGTGACCTTACTCTACTTCAGATAGTTTCAGATCTGAACTGTATACAAACTGTAATTTCCTGCAATTTTTGTGCTGTGCTGAGATCTTAGCTATTTCTCCTATAACGTGATAGTTGCATTCTTGTGTGACCTTGCGCTATAGAAAATCGTGTTACAGGGAAATCACTATAGAAAGTCGCCATACTGTACAATAGGAAGTTCGTGTTATCCAAACAGTGTCTACAATTCATCAATCGCGTTACAGTCAATTCGCATTAACGAAACACATTATAGCAGAAATACCTGTACTTAATGTTTTTGTTGGCATCATATACACGCTCTGCTTATTCAACAGCATTTCAAAATTACTCACTGTTTTAAATCACTGAGAGAAGTGGGTGTTGCTGGTTGGCCTGCATTTATTGCCTGTTCTTAGTTTCCTTTGAGAAGATGGTGGTGAGCTGCCTTCTTGAACAGCTTCAGTCCATCTGCTGAAGATAGACTGTAGCCATAATGCTGTTGGGAGGGAGTTCCAGGATTTTGATATAGCCGTATTGAAGGAACAGCAATATATTTCCGTGTAAGGATAGTGAGTGGCTTGGAAGGCAACTTGCCGGAGGTGGTTTCCAAGCTATCTGCTGTCCTTGTCGTTCTAGATGGAAGCGGTCATGGATTTAGCAAGTGCAATCTAAGGAGGTTTGGTGAGCTTTTGAGTGCATCTTGTAGATGTTTACACTGCTGCTACTGAGTGTAGGTGGTGGAGGGAATGAATGTTTGTGGATGTGGTGGTGTCAAGAAGGCTGCTTTGTCCTGGATGGTGTCAAGCTTCACTCATCCAGTTGGTGAATATTCCATCGCATTCCTGGCTTGTAAATGGTAGACAGGCATTGGCAGAGTCAAGAGGTGAATTACTCACTGCAGATTCCTTGTCTCTGACCTGCTCTTGCAGCCGTTAAATTCATATGGTGAGATCAGTTCAGTTTCTAGCCAGTGGTAACTGTCAGGATATTGATAGTGGGAGAATTCAGTGATGGTAACACCATTGAATGTTAAGGGGCAGTGGTTAGATCATCTCTTATTGAAGATGGTCATAGTCTGGCATTTGTGTGGTGTGAATGCTATGTGCCACTTTTCAGCCCAAGCCTGGAGATTGTCCAGGTCTTGCTACATTTGGATCACAGGCTGCTTCAGTATCTGAGGAGTTGTGAATGGTGCCGAACATTGTGCAATCATCGAACATCCCCACTTCTGACCTTTATGATAGAGGGAAGGTCATTGAAGCAGCTGAAGATGGTAGGACTTAGGGTATTACCCTGAGGAACTCCTGAGATGACTGACCTGCCAAAGATATAACCATCTTCCTTTTATACACGTATGATGCCAATCAGTGGATTTGCCCCTTGATTCCCATTGATTCTAGTTTTGCTAGGGTACCTTGATTCCACATTTGGTCAAATGCAGTCCCGATGTTGAAGGCTATCACTCTTACCTCTGAAATTCGGCAAGCAGGTTATTGCTGAACTGGTGCTGCTTGATAGCACTGTTGATGATGCTATTTGATGTGTTATTCCACAGTCCAAGTGTGATACCGATACTGACTATTTATCCCAGTGGAGTATCTAGTGCTAAAGATTCTTTGAGGGTGGGGGAGTTGTGGCGAATGAGGGGATCAGTTTTCTGACTGACTTTGGCCTTAATTCAAGGAGGCCCAAATTTTGTCCAAGTGCCTGAATATACTGAAATAATGTAAGGCTTCCCATGGAAAAGCAGTGAGGGACTACCATCTGTTCTTCAGCCACAGCACACTCCTCTCCATAAAATTTTATATATGAAGAAAAATATTCAATTGTAGAAGATAAATTGTCATTTGGCTGTTTAGGACTTGAGTTTTGCTGAAAAAGGGCTCATTCGGCGAAGCTTCCTGCACACTTCACATTTTTCTTTAGGCCAGTACAAGTGGAAAGCTAACATTTATGCTGAATGGTTGGCTAGTGGTAGAGGCATTGCCATGGAGAAAGCACCCGTTAATGCTAATTGACAGCTAATAACCAGACTTTTGTTTAAATTTAAACCCAGGCAGGTTAACTGTGATTGGTCTGAGAAGTGAACGTCACCTACTTTGTTGAGTTGAGACAGGTCTAGGCCCGAGGCGTCGGCCTTCCTGCTCCTCTGCTGCTTGGCTTGCTGTGTTCGTCCAGCTCTACACCTTGTTATCTCTCACTGTGAACATGTTATTTCAGCTTATTACTATTTTTAATGAATGAAGTCGCTACGCAAATTAAACAGTTAAAAACTGAAAGTGTTATGTTTGTGCTGTGTTTTTCTGATTTTTATCTCCCTCCAATATGATATGTAGCAGCTGTTGCAGCATATTTGATTTCTGGCTTTTTCTTGCTGTGTGCTATGCTTCTCCAAAGAGATTACATAGCTGCTAATGGGTATCGAACATTCTGGGAGCATCAATGTTACGATACTTGTGTTTGTGACGTGAATATGGGACAGGCTACATGGACCAGCTAATACTTGCCTGTCAGCTTGCTTTTATTTACACTTCCTTGAGTTATTTGAAGCAGCTAACAATTTGTGTTTTATTACTTTCTAATATAACACTTGTACTGTTTCAATAAAAGTAAATCTGTCTGGCATTAACAACACGAATATTACCTGATTTATATTTTAGAATATTCCGACTTTGGGAGTCAGCGCTGTTGTTCTAGCTACGCATTTATGTGATGAAGTCAGCTTGGCAGGATTTGGATACAACCTTAGCCAACCACAAATACCATTGCATTACTATGAAAATGTCCAGATGCATGCTATGAAGGCCCAAACTATGCACAATGTGGAAACTGAGAGGAATTTCCTAGAAGACTTGGTTAAAGCTGGTGTTGTGACAGATCTTAGTGGAGGAATTCACTGCAAATTTTGCAATAAGCAGGAAAGCACAATCTGAAGGTATGCAATTTTTAAAAAAAGAACGCGTGGCCTTCAGTATAGATATCACTTGAAACTAAGGCCTTCTCAGCACACCCATTCGTGAATATTGCAGTTTTAAATGATCCTACTGAAGCCTTTTGCAGGAGTTATTTTTCTCAGTTGTGCATCAAATGTACAGCAAGTGTAACTTTGAAAAGAAGGTATGTGGCCACCTGAATTAATTTGGTTATTGAACTAAACTGGAATCGTGAATGTTACTGCAGCTTTTGATGAAATGTTTAATATTTTCAGCATGGAGCATTTGTGATGTGTTAAATTGAAATTTTCATTTGCCTGCTGCACATGATTCTCTCTTCTGTGTCAAGTTTTTGAAAATATGTTACTTGGATGTTCCTGGATGTTAAACCCAATTCAGTATTGAGGTAATGTTAATTTGAATATGCCAATTTTAAATTTCACTTATGAAGCTGGCAATTTGCAAAACAGTATTTTGAACATTGTCCTAATGATCATTCTGGAAAAAGGCATCTCTGCTTGGGAAAGTACAAACCAATTTAAAGTTTGTCACACTACACTACTTGTTAAATATTAAATGATTGAAACAGTAATTCTAAAGAATTCTAAAGAAAAGAAATCTTCAGAGTTCACTGGACTTGTCTGGTAGCCATACCCTTCACAAATTTGCTTAGTTGTGTAGTACTGTTTTTCTTTTTACCAACTGCATCTCTAATGTTTGCTCATTCAGGATTTTCTGGGAGAAATGTGTTCATGTCACGTATTGTACACTTGCAGTTGATCATTTCTGCCATTTGCAAAAATCACCAACTGTGACATTCTCTGGGAATGCACCTCCTTTGAACTGTGGGACTTTGCTTGTTGATAATAGGACCATGTTAAAGAACGATGCAAATGTTCTTACTTGAATGCGATGAGGGTGAGATTGCACTTCAGTGGTAGTGTTAAAGAACAGGTGTTAAACTAACAGCTCATTAAAAGTAAAATCAAACAAGACATCAAAAGAGCATCAGATGTATAATAGTTTTACTGACAACCATTTCACACCATTGAAATCAATTTCAGCCTTTTATTGCTGAGAAGCTTTAAGAGTTTACTGAAGATATTTTGGTGATTGTTGATCAGTGTGCAGAATATTAGATGACACAAAATTCTGCATCTGCAGAACTGTCAGTCAACTATGTGGTTAGGTGCAGATGTTTTCTAGCTTTTTACTTCTATACATTACTGTAAAATAAAATTATTTGTGTATATTCCTATTTTTTATATGTACATTTGTAGTCACTTGATCAGCTTAACTGATGTCAAACTTATGGAGTCTTACTGATCACTGCATATTCTTTTAGAATTTTATACTGGAAATGTTAATTACTTCAGATGGAAATATCTGATTTATATTTTAAATATTTTAGCTTTGAGAAAAATCTTTTGGATAACCTGGTTTATTAACTGCTGCCATGGCAAATATCCTTTCTGTGTTTACTGTAGGATTTTTGTAAATGATTCAACTGCTTTGAAATTCTGGTCTGTTTGAGAGAACTTGCTTAAACCCGAGTCTGGTGTGGCCTAAAATAATAATGCTATGCTTTGTAAAGCATATGTTCCTCTCTTTCTTTTTCTTCCCCTGACGTTAGTGAAAAAGATGTCACTAATTTAGATAAATGGAAGATAATGCATTGAAATGTGTTTGGAATGAGTGTTATCATTGATATTAACAGATATTTACTGTAGCAGCAATGTTATTACTGGAATCAATACACGTGGAAAGCTGGCTAATGATTACGTACCAACATATTTTATACAGTGACAATTAACTGACTTTTTTGGTTAAAATTTGGATGGAAACAAATAAGATCCATCCATTAAAGAAGAGTCATTGTAAAATCTGAAAAGGTTGCATCTTTACAACAGCACAATTATGACCAAAGGCTGTGAATTTTGTTTCAGCATTGCACTATGCTTTCTGTTTAAAATAAATCTTGTACATTGCTGTTTTCATTTTATTTTTGTAATGACTTGAAAGCATTATTTCAAGGTTGTCTATTCAGCCTATTGTGTTTTATAAGCAATATTTTTCTATGAAGATTCCATCAACAAGCAAACAACCTGAGCCACCAGAAGAATCAATAAAATAATAATGCTGTTCAGGGAGATTTATGAAACTTACTTCATTGTTATAAAAGCAAAATGCTGGAAACCTGAAACAAAGGAGAAACTCAGCAAGTTTGGCAGTATCTGGCAGAGAAATAGTTAATGTTTCGAGTCTGGTGTGACTTCTTCAATTCTCACATGGAAGTTACAAGACCTGCATTTCTCCAGTGTTCTGCAATGTATTTGTACCATCTTGATGTTTGATTGTTTTAATTGTATATTAGGTACATTTACCAAGTGAATGCTCCATTTACAGCTTCATTCACTAGGGGATCCTATCATGATGTAAAGTCACAAGGATTTCTTGTCTAGTTCCAGTTATGCCATGCTAATTTGTAATATCTACTTTGTGTTTTAATTTGGCAGAGAAGGCTTATTGATTTAGGATTAATAAAATATTACAGATGTGATGTAATAATGTGATCCTTTTGGACTTTGACTGTACTGCGCTATTTCAGAAATTGTAAGTTTCACAGAATATCATTAGTGTTAATAGCACAGATGAGGCCATTTGGCCCACTGTGCATTGCTTGTTAAATGAGTATCATTACTGGGTGATAATCTCCTTTTCCCCCACAATATTTTTATCTGACTACTCGTTCAGTATGCTCTCGAATGCCTCAATTGAAATGCAGTAGAAGCAGGTTCAATGCAGTGCATACTGTACCCTAACTATGCATAGAGTGAAAGAAGTGGTTCCTCACTTCACTGTTGAAGATTTTGCAGATCACTTTAATTGCCCTCTTGTTTTTTTTAAATGAGCGGGAACAGTTTCTCAATTTACTCTAATCAGCCCACTCATGACTTAAACCTTTATCAAATCTTCTCTCAGCCTTTTCTCCAAGGGAAACTGTCCCAACTACTTCAATCTATCCTCATACTAAAGCTCCTTGTCCCTGGAACTATTCTTGTTAATCGCTTCTGCACTCTCCAATATGTTCGCATTCTTCTTATAATGTAGTGCCCACAATTGTACACAACACTCTGGCTGAAGACTCTAACTAGTGCCTTTTACAAGGGCAACATCACCTTGCTCTTTTACATGTTACTTGTTCCCTCTGCCCGTCCTGCCATGAAACATAGAAATTAGGAATTGGCCATTCAGCACATAGGGGAGGTGATGACCTAGTGGTATTATCAATGGACTGTTAATCCAGAGACCCAGATAATGTTCTGGGGACCTGGGTTCAAATCCTGCTGTGGCAGATAGTGGAATTTGAATCAAGTAAAAATCTGGAATTAAGAGTCTAATGATGACTGACTGCAAATCCATTGCTGATAGGTTTCTCCAATCTCGTTCACACATATACCTTAGGGGAAGGAAACTGCCATTTTTGCCTGGTTGGGCCTACGTGTGACTCCAGGCCCACAGAAATGTGGTTGACTCTTAAGTGCCCTCTAGGTAATTAATGTTGGCCTCCTTCTGTGAATGAATTTAAAAAAAAAACTCAAGCCTGCTCCTCCATCCCTTTATAATCATGGCTGATCATCCAACTTGGCAGCCTGTTTCTTCATTTCCCCCATATCCTTGGGACTAAAAAAAATCAAGATGCTGGCCCCAGGCACTGGAATTATGGCCAACTACCCGCTGTAGTGTGATGTTGGGAATAGCATTACCCAGGAAATTAGAGACACGTAATAAAGGAGTAACTGTAATTATGGGTGATTTTAATTTGCATATAGATGAGCAAAGCAAATTAATAACAATACTTCAGAGGAGGAATTCCTGGAATGTTTACAGGATGATTTTCTTGACCAAGCTTGCAGGGAACATAAAATCAATACCAAAGTTTCTATAGGTATGTGATGAGAAAAAGGTGAAGACAAATGTACGTCCCTTACAGTCAAATGGGAATTTATAATGGGGAAGAAAGAAATGGCTGAGTAAATACATACTTTTGTTTCTGTGTTCACAAAGGATGATGTAAATAATATACCAGAAATGTTGGGGAACACATGATTTAGTGAGAGGAAGGAATTGAAAGAAATCTGTATTTGTAGGGAAATGTTGTTGTTGTGGAAATTGGTAGGATTGAAGGGGGATTAAAATCCCCAAGGCCTCCTAGTCTACATCCCAGAATACTTCAGGGAGTGGTCCTCAATAGCAGATTCACTGGTGGTCATCTTCCAAGATTCTGGAACATTTCTTACAGATTGGGGGATAGCTAATATAATCCTACTATTTAAACAGGGAGACAGAAAAAGCATCAGCAATGTGGCTGACTGTAGTTAATGCTGGTCAGTCAGCCTGACATTAGTAGTGGGGAAGTGCTAGAGTCCGTTATAAAATAATTAGTAGTAGAGAACTTGGAAAACAGTAGCATGATCAAGCAGAGTCCGTATGGATTTACAAAAGAGAAATTATGCTCTATAGAACTCCTGGAATTCTTCGAGGATGTAATGTTGATGAGGCGGAGCCATTGGGTGTAGTTTACTTAGACTTTCAGAAGGCTTTAAACAAGTCCTACATGAGGCATTAGTTGTAAAATTAAAGCATGTGTATTTTTTCCATATTTTCTTTTGTGGTAGGCAGTGACTAGAAGGTACTATAGGGATCAGTACTAGGACCCTAGCAATAGTATCCAAAGTATATCTGTTTTACAAGGAATAACCACAGGAGACTCCTGCATTGCCTGACTGGTCCTCTTGCTTTGCCTGGTGGTCATCCATGCTTTTCCTGCCTGTGGAGTCTTAGCCTGTAATGTGCCCACATCGCTATACGTGCTATCCATGACACTGTCCAGTTTGTGGATGCTGTATAGTGTTCCCAACTGTTACTCCAGCTCTGAAAACAGGCCTTGCAGGAGCTGCAACTGGAGACACTTAGACCATAAGACATAGGAACAGAAATTAGGCCATTCGGTCCATCAAGTCTGTTCATGGCTGATAACTTCCTCAACTCCATTCTCCTGCTTTCTCCCTGTAACCCTTGATCCCCTTGATAATCAAGAACCTATCTATCTCAGTCTTCAATGTACTTAATGACCTGGCCTCCACAGCCTTCTGTGGCAGTGAATTCCATAGATTCACCACTCTGGCTGAAGAAGTTTCTCCTTATCTCTGTTTTCTAAAAGGTCTTCCCTTTACTCTAAGGCTTTGCCCTCAGGTCCTAAACTCTTCTACCAATGGAAGCATCTTCCCAACATCTATTTTGTCCAGGCCATTCAGTATTCTGAAAGTTTCAACTGGATTCTCTCCCCCCCCCCGCCCATTCTTCTAAACTCCAATGAGTATAGTCCCAGAGTCCTCAAACGTTCCTGCATGCATGCTGGCCCCAACCACTGGAACTGTGCTCAACTTGCAACATAGAGCAAGAAGAACACATCACAGCTTGGAGCTCACCTATGATGATTTACTTTTTTTTTGCATCTTTGAAAAGGTTTAATTTAGCATCAAATAATATAAATTACTCTAGGGCCCTTTTTCCCTGGTCCTCATTACTATAGTAATATAGTCCTTACAAACTGTAAACCATAAAACAAAGCAAAAAACACTTTTTCCTTTCTGCACTGAATTCCCACTGTGCTTCAAGTTCCCAGAAATACATACGTTGTGTGTGAACAGTCCTGTTGTTAAATCAAGCTGAGGGAAGATGAGATGACTTTCACTCATTAAGCTTCAATTGTAATGAACACCAGTTGAGGCCTATTCATTCATCGTGTGATTGACTGATAACTATAACTCAGCTGCGACAGCTACCTTAAATTTACCTTTTACCACATCTACTGAACTTTTTTTTTAAAAAAGGAAAGACTTAATATTGTGCTCCATATTCTCAGAGATACACATTCACTCTGTCTGTCTCACTCAGAATGTGTTCTCTCCTGACTGCTCATGCATAGTTTACTTTCAGTATGTCTGTGCAGACATGCCCTGGTTCCTCTGTTGCTGTGCCCTTTAAAATTGTACCCTTTATTTTGTCTTTCAAAGTTCTGTCCAAAATGTATCACTTGACACTTATCTTGAAACTTCAAGCGAAACTCATCTGCCACTAGATGCCTACTCCACCAACTATGACCTGGAACAAAATCAGAAATTGCTGGAAAAACTCAGCAGGTCTGGCACCGTCTGAGAAAAGAAAGCCAAGTTAACGGTTCGGATCCGGTGACCCCAACTCAGAACATGCAATTTTTTTGTTTGTTTAGTGTAAGACTTTCTGGAGTTCCACACTCCTCCTTTCAGTTTACAATTCCTTAGCGTTTTGTGTCATCTGTAAACGTTGAAATTGTCCTCAACACCAAGATCTAGATCATTGATATGTTAGAGGAAAAGCAAGGGTACCAATACTGATCCTTGGGGGAGCTCCACTACAAACCTTCCTCCAGCCTGAAAAATAACCATTAACCATTACTGTCTGTTTCCTATCACTCAGCCAATTTTGTATCCATGTTGTTTTTGTCATTTTATACCATGAACTTTAACTTTCCTCACACGTCTTTTTGTGGCATTATGTCAAACGTCTTCTGAAAGTCCATTTTCACCGTGTCAACATCGAATCTTTCTATTAGGCAATACTAATCGCATTACCTAATAATAAAGTGAGGGACAAAATTAACATAACAATTACTGGAGAAAAAGTACCAGGAAAACTAAGGGAGCTAAAGGCTAATAAATCCCTTGAAACTGATAGGTTGCATCATAGAATTTTAAAGGAAGTAGCTGCAGAAATAGCGCATGCACTGGTAACAATCTTCCAAAAATTGTTAGATTATGAAAAAGACCCAGAGAAATGGAAAACTGCCAATGAAATGCCCTTACCAAAAAGGGAAAGGAGACATAAAACAGGCCTGTTTGCCTAACATCTGTCATTGGAAAAATGTTATAAAGGAGGTAATAGCGGAACATTTAGAAATACATTATCTTATCAAGCAGAGTCAGCTTGGCTTCATGAAGGAGAAATCGTGTCTAACAAGTAACATATCTGGTTTGTTAATGCCCTTTAGGGAGGGAAACTGCCATCCTTATGTGGTGTGGCCTATGTGTGACTCCAGATCCACAGAACCACAGAAATGTGGTTAACTCTTAACTGCCTTCTAGGTAATTTGAGATAGGTAATAAACGCTGGCTCGTGAATGAGTAAAACAGGATACCTCTTATGCCAGCTAGGTTAAAAACTTATAGAGTAAGAATAGAGAAATTGAAAGCCTTCAGATTAATATGGACAGAATAAGAAAGAACTGCTACATCTCCTCAAAAAGAGGAAAATCCTGCTTCTGAGTGACCAGTACCTCAAAGGCTCAGCTTCATTCTTTTCATGAACCAAATATGCCAATAATAAGAACCGATCTTCAGACAGGTTGGCTCCACCTTCATAACCATTGTTTTATAACTTTATAGTGTTACTTTTATAAAAAGAGACCAATACAAATACGGGGGAATCCATAGCCTATTTATTACTCAGTAAATGCTTTATAACTA